TTCATTTGAATTGTTAATATTCTCTTTAGTTTAGGGTCTCATTGCTAGTTAAACCTAGTAGGTGTATGCGTAGTTCAGGATCTTCTGACCTTAAACCCTACGATCCTTAGTTAGAACAGTTAGAAAAATCAGAAAATTAAAGAATTCAACAAATTCTGGGTGAGATGGCTGATATATCTTAGAATAATTTTGATGACCATGGACAACATAATGTACTCAATAATGATGAAGCTAATGATATGTCTTGACCTTTAAGAGATTTTTCCAATCCTACGGTAGATGAAATCCACCTTAGTATCAATACCCCAGCCGTAGAAGCCAATTTATTTGAACTGAAACCTTCTATCATCTAAATGGTACATAAGAATTAATTTGGGGTAACACATTCATAAGACCCAAATCTTCATTTAGTGAGCTTCTTCGAACTCTGTGTCATATTCTGCGATAACGATGTCTCCAACGACACTGTGAGGCTGAGGCTTTTCTCTTTCTCTTTGAGGGATAAAACAAAAAATGTGGTTAAATTCCTTAGTTCCTGGTTCAATTAGGACTTGGAATGACTTGACCTAGAAATTTTTAGCGAAATATTTTACACCTTGAAAAACAACTAAACTTAGAAATAACATTACCTTTTGTTGCCAGCATGATGACGATTCAATTTATGAAATTTGGGAAAGTTTAAGGAACTCCTAAGGTTGGGGCACTTCCTAAGGTTCACTCGATCGTTGTCATCTCCTCAATTAAAAATAGGCCTCATCAAAAGGTTTAGACATAAGGGAACCATCTGCACCTGCGCTTATGATCTGCCTAAGAGATCCTACCAACCCATTATAGATAGTCTGGATAATCTGCCAGTCTGATAATTCGTGATGGGGGCACTTCCTTAGGAGTTCCTTGAAAGCTTTCTCAGGCTTCATAAATCGGTTCACCATGATGCTAGCAAAAAGAGGTAATGTCATTCCTTAAGTTGGGTCATTTTTTAAGGTGAAAAATATTTCACTAAAAATTTATGGGTCTGGTCATTGCAAATCTTAATTGAACCAGAAGTTAAGGGATTTAACAACATTTTGATTTTGTCCCTCAAGCAGAAAAGGAAAAGACTCAACCTCATAGCATCGTTGGAGACACTGTTATAGCGGAATGAGGCACGGAGTTCTAAGAAGCTCGCTAAATGAACATTTGGGTCTTCCAAAGGTGTCACCCCAAATTGATTGATCTGCACAATTTGGATGATAACATGTTTCAATTCGAATGAATTAACTTCTATGACAGGGGTATTGATAATAAAGTGAATTTCATCCACCGTAGGATTGACAAAATTTCTTAAAGGTCGAGGCATGTTATTAGGCTCATCATTATTGGGTATATTATGTTATCCATGGTCATCAAAATTATTCTTAGGTATATCAGCCATCTCTCTTAGAATTTCTTGAAGTCTTTTTAATTTTCTGATTTATTTTAAATGTTCTCTTGAACTCAGGGTCGTAGGGTTCAAGATCAGAAAATTCTGAACTACACATACACCTACTAGGTTCAACTAGCAACGAGACCCTAACTAAAGAAAATATTAAACAGTTCATATTAAAACTCACAACATAGAATAAACTCATAACAATTAAACTAAATCAAACAACATGCAAATAACATGGATCATACAACAATTAAAAGAAAATAAGATACAAGTGCACAATCAAACAAGTATCAAATAGGATATTTTTAGATTTTGTAAATAAAAACAAAACAATATAAATACAAGAAACAATGAACACTATGGTTTTCAAGTCTAAGATCTAAAAGTTCAACTAAAATTTCCTAATTTGAATTCACCGTTGTTCCCCAGCAACGACGTCGAAAACTTGACACACACTAAGTGTTGTGAAACACGGGTGACTCACACAAGTATACGTGGCGTATCAGTAGTACTGGGTTGGAGTCTGGTTGTCGATCCCACAGAGAACAAGATGAATACAATTTGGAAAAGTTCTAGTCTACAATTATCATTTCAAGCTTGAAAGGTTTCAATTTTAGTTATAAGTAAAGTGTCCACTTTATATTTGCAAAAAGAAATCCTATCTTAATTAACTAAAGAGACTTGTGTGAGAGAAGGATTCTCCCCTGAAATGAATCCTAGAAAATTAGGTTTGATGAAGTGTCGATAGTAGGTGACTAACTAGAACATTCTTCATTATCATCTCCTTCCCGTGGAATAAAGGAAGTTAGTGAATCCCACTAATGAGTTCTCTGCATCTAGTGAAATTCCATTATTAAACATTTCTATCAAGTTAGCACTAAGCCTTGAGTAATATCTCTATTGTTAGAGCTTAAAAAAATTAATCTCAATTGTTTCACTTAAAATACTTCAGTGTCACAAATATCACAAAATAAGTTCACACAACAAGCGGCTAGTTTGCATGCAAACAAATATATGCGAGAGATTAATTTTCTTCATAACACCACACTGCTCATCTCTAAACATCCATTAAAACATAGATTTTTTATTCATCAAATTAGGAGAGTCATAAAGTTTAGTTCCTAGACATGCTTTGAGGCTCAAAACTCAAATTTTGATTTATTAAAATAAAAGCAAAATACAAAAGTTGAGTTAAGAGAACAAACTAGATCCCACACTTGGAATGCCTACACTCAAATGTGCTCAAAACTTTCTCCAAATACAAGCATCAAAACTCTCACCACTCTCTCTGTACAGTTGCACTCTATCCTCTCGCTCTCTCTCTCTAAGAATTCTTCTGAGAAGAATCCTCCTCCGCTCTTAAAGTTCTAAGTAAAAAAATAAGAAAACAAAGTCCCTGCATCTTCTTGATTTGTCTTTCATATCCTCCTTATTCACTTGATTACAATCTTTAAAATCGGACTACTATCATTCGTCATCCCTCCCGACCCACCTCCAACCAACTTTGGCGCTTATGCGCCCTTTGCTTGGCACATAGGCGCCAAGCCTTCTATGAATACTGCTATTAAATGTGGGCGCATATGCGCCCACTGCTTGGCACATAGGCGCCAAGCATTTTGTATATCGCATGAAGTATGGAGCATATACTCCACTCCTTGGCGCATAGATCCCAAGCTTTCTGAGTTGGGGTGGCGCATAAACACTCGTAGCTTGTGTGATTGAAAAGTACTGCTTAAATTAAAAGGAAAGTTTTATAAGATGGTGGTGAGACCTGCAATGCTCTATGATGCAGAATGTTGGTCTTTAAAAGAAAGCATAAAACAAAGTTAAGTGTTGTCGAGATGAGAATGCTTAGGTGGATGTGTGACTTGACACTTTGAGACAAAATGCGAAATGAATATGTCCGTTATAGGGTAGGTGCAGCTCGAGCGGTGGACAAGATTAGAGAGAGTCTTCTTAGATGGTTTGGTCACATTAAATGTCGATCATCTGATGATCCGGTTAGGAGAGTAATTGTTTTAACTTCAACTGACGTTAAGAAAGACAAAGGTAGACCTAAAAAGAATTGGACATATTGTATAAAAAAATGATCTTAATCTATTAGAATTAAATGAAAATATGACTCACCGGAGAAAAAAGATTCTTGCATTTAACCCCATTTAGTGGGATAAAGGCTTATTATTATTGTTGGTTGAAGGAAGAAACTTGCATGTAGCACTTATCAGAGGGGCCATAGAATTCCTTAACCATGACATTCCTTACTGTCTTTTTTATCCCTATCATTAAACATGGAATCGACTTGCTCCGGCCCAATGCCAAGAAATTTGTCCAATTTATCCCTTCTTTCAAGAACTTGTGAATAATTTTGAGCACTTGAGATTTTTATTTCCATTCAATTGCTATGTTTAGTGGATGTTTTGTGATTTCTTATTGGATTTGGATTGTCAGAAACCCAAGAACAATAGAACATGGTTATTATTATCCATGTAAAGGAAAATTGTGTTAGTAACTGGTTTGTAGAAGAAGGATAGCAGCATGACTATTAATGAAGGTGCATGATTGCGGCAATATAACGATGTGGTTATGGGACAAATAAGAGGAAAGTTAGAAAATGCAACAAGGAAGGCTTCAAGGTTTGCCCAATAAAAAAGGAAAGGTTAAAACTCTGATATCATGACAAGAATTGGAGAATTTGTTTAGTATTTTATCCCACCATGTTTGCTGACTTTATACAATACAAGGAACTTTTTAGTTGGCAATGTATGTGATTAAGGGTTGAAAATCAGGGATACAATAACAATAGAAAAATTACACTAGGTAGAATATTCAAGCAATTAAATTATAAGTGTTTGTGAGAGGAGGGAGTCTTGGATCGGTGAGCTATCAAAGAATAGCCTGCAGAGAGGAGCCAGTGGAGGTGGATTGACAGGCGTTACCATTGTGAGTGTTGCATTGTGCAGGTGGCTTAAGCACTTCGAGAAACAACTGGTGAGACGAGCTCTAGCCCTGAGCGCTGTAGGAGTGAGTCATGGCATGGGATTTGCGGACATGAATCATAGGAGCTGGGCCATCTCTACAGTAACTTTTAATTATTTCAAATGGCCATGAAAGAAGGGAATAGAGTGTCTGGACTCCTATAATAGTCTTTTTTATGTCTGAGGGCTTTATTGTATGTTCTTTTTTCGTATAATAAACTTCGGAAGATTTTCTCTTTTAACAGTACAAGAGCCTCTTCCCCATAAGTATGTGCCGAACAGCAATTTTTAAAATCCATGTAGATGCTCCCACAAAATAGTCAAAAACATAATGAGTGCAGCCAAATGAATGTTTTCTATTGCTTATGAAGGATATTATTGTGTATCAGCAAACGTTAAATATTTTGGAGTTGTAAAGAACAATCTTTCTGGTTGTGACATGATTGTATATAGCGTAATATTTTGGTGGCAAAATCTGAAGTTTCTGGATGCTGCTAATTTTTTATATTTATTGCATGATAAATTATTGAAATATAGCTTTCACCTGCCATTCCCTCTGTATTTTCCTAAATAATCATTTTTTTTTACAAAGTGCTTTCTGATGTTTTCTCCAGGTGTTAATAGTAGATGATGGAAGCACTGATAAGACATCTAAAGTAGCATTTGACTTTGTTAGGAAGTACAAGATAGATAATGTCAGGCTTCTTCTTCTTGGAAGAAATCATGGGAAAGGAGAGGCCATTAGAAAAGTAAGTAATTTAATACCTTTATATAGAGTAAGTAATTTAATACCTTTATATAGAGAGACAATTTTCTGCGGCTCAATTTGGATAAATGAAAAGATTGTTTCTGTTATTCGAATCTGTGAACATCAAATCATGATGGACACAACCTAATAGTAAGGGGAAGGATTAGTTTAATTTTTTATGACGCTGAATTTACACAATTATACTATTTTGTTTAAGTTTTACACAATTATACTATTTGTTTAGTTTAATTTATCCCAGTATTTTTAGATAATTTGGAATGTTAAATCTTATTCTGCGCTGATTGATGTTCCCTACTTCCGGGAAAGTATGGTAATGCAGGGCATGCTGCACTCACGTGGTGAACTTATCCTAATGCTTGATGCTGATGGAGCGACCAAAATTACTGACCTAGAAAAGCTTGAATCTCAGGTCTGCACTGAGTGTATTGAATGTTGATTTATGGCTACCAATCTACAGTTCTGTAATCATGATTACCATTGATTTTGGTACTCTATTTGTTGTGTTTTTGCTTCTTTTTTAGGTCTATGCATTGGCTGAGAATAAAATAGATGGAAAATCTCCGGCTGAGTTATCTAAAGACATTAAGCTCAAGCTATCCGATATTGAAGTTTCTGTATTTGGTTCCCGAGCACATCTTGAGAAGCAAGCTCTTGCTACTGTATGTTTCCTAATGGGATCACCTTTAAACTTTTATTTCTATTTTTTTATTTTTTTACTTATAAAACATGGTTGGTTTGTTATAATAAGTTTAGTTGTTTTTATAAATATTATAATGTTATGAGTTTTTTAAAAACAAGCTAATGTGAATTTGAAGAAAGGAAATAAAAGGGGACTTTACATGCGTACCTTGTAATTTTTATGTATTTACATATCTAATCCTTAAAATTTAGTATTTAAGCTTAGATAGCCCATGACTTTAAGGGCAGCCGCTGCTTTAGAGATGAGCACCAGCTAGTTTATACATTATCTTTAGGTAAAATGACTGGGATTCACAATCTATGAAAGTCGATGAATGGAATGCTTATTATAAACTACCTAGTGTGGAGCGGCTTGGACGACCACAGAATTTTATTCTTGACAACCGTTGCTTCCACACTTTAGTAGTTTGAGATTGCTTGTAAGAGAAGAAAACATGATTTGCCTCATAATATATCATGAGCTTAATATTCAAATGAACTCTATTTATGGGGAATGTACGTTAATAACCATTTATGTCATAATGCCTAGTTTTGTGCATCAGATGCCTACAATATCAGGTGCATATTTTCCCCATTGTAAGGCTATGGAAGCACATAATTATGATTTGATTTTTTTGTAACTAATGTCTTTATTTGTTTTGAGAAAAAAAAGTTAACTTTATTGGCATATAGTGGTTGGATGGAAGTACATAACTATGAAATGCGCATGAGAATTCAAAAGAGAGGTTATGAGATCTCTTTTTTTTGGGTGATTAAGCAGCTTGGATGGCCCATGACTGTAAAGGCAACCGCTGCTTTAAGATATTAATGTTACACAAAGTTACAATTGTTACACATATTATGAATTGTTACACACATTAAAAATACCACTGCTATTAACTTCTTAAAAGCAAAGTACAACTTTTCATGCATAGGTTCATGATACCGAAGTGTTATCAATGTATATATCAAACTTTGTAAATACAAAGGAATTATGTGTTATTTGTGTAAATTTCTCAAAATAAAAATAAGTAAAAACGTATTAAATAAACATGTTTTTATGATAAAGGCAAAAACAAAGACAAAATGATCCCAAATAAGCCCCTATGATTCTCCCTTTTGAGTCTTGTGTTTTACCCAGGACATCTCACTTGAAATCTACGTTTTTTTCTTATGATTTTTCAGAGGAAGTGGTACAGAAACTTTCTAATGAAAGGTTTCCATCTTGTGGTTTTATTTACTGCTGGTCCGGGTATCCGTGATACACAGGTAATCTTGAATATGGATTTTTTTTTTTTTTTTATTGATAGTTTTCATTAGAAACATGAGTTTCATGCATTGGAACCATAAAAAATATTTCTTATATACTCTTCCCCTGTTTTTAATAATTTTTTTATGTGTTACAGTGTGGCTTCAAGATGTTCACAAGGGCAGCAGCTAGGAAAATTTTCACAAATATTCGATTGAAGAGGTATCCTTAGCATGCTATAATTTACTGGCATTTTCTGTTGCTGATATCAATCTCTTTCCTAAATCAAAATGCTGATCTTTCAAACCACGCTATATATTGTTTACAAACATTAACTTGTCAAAGCAGTACTCTTAGAGTTCTGTTAAAGAAGCGAGCTTTTAGGATCACAAAACTAGATTTTAAAAAGATAATTTTTAGATTCAGCGTTGAGATTTCCTTCTTTTAACATAACAATTATAAGCTTTTGAAAAGAAGAATGTTCAGTGATTTTCAAGAGATGGAAGGGAAGAGAAGAAGTGAGATAGACGGAAGGAGTGGGGGGAAAAAAACTGAACGAAGAAGAGAGAGAGAGAGAGGGGGGGGGAGAGGATGCGTACAAGAGTTTGGGTGTGGATGAAGTGAGAGCAAGGGAGAGGATTCTTTTTGAATTTGTGTTTCGACGTGAATACCATTTGGGCTTTGCACATAGGTAAGTTTTGATTTAATCACAATTGATAAAAAGTTACCGGAAGGAAATTTGCTTAATTAGTTAATTGAGGAGTTTTGGAGTTTGGGTTGGCTTAATGAGTAGTGTATTAATAGTTAAAAAAATTAGTAAGATAAAGATGATAACCCCTAATTAGTTTGGATTAATTAATTTTCATCTTTATCTTAATAAAATTTTCAACTATTTATACACTTCTCTCTCTCTCTTTATTTTAGTTATTAACCTATAGTAGCTTATAAAAATCTCCGATAACTTTAGATATTCTTTTTAATTTACAAATAATTTTAAGACAGGAACGTTGCCAAAGTTTTCATTTCGTATAACAAAATTTTGGGTGTGTTTGAGATAACTTTTTAATAATATTATTTTACAGATCACCTCCATACTTTTATCTAACTATAATTTCTAATCTTTAGAAATTTTTGTGGTGAGTATCTTCACACAATTAAATTTGCAATTGTCGTAGCTATACAAAAGGGCAGACTTTTGTTGTAGGTAAATGGACTTAATATTATCCTTACCCTTTAAAAATTAACTTTCTCACAATAGTTCAAACATAGATCTCTGACGCTGCTGTAAATATCCCAAATAGACACTAGTTTTTATTTTAGACTATTTTAGACTTATTGCTGGTATGCTTTTGATATTCACTCTAATTTGTAGTTAAAATTGCACTTCATGTAGCTATTTCAAAACTGAATTCCAAAAGCAATATTTTCTTTACCAAAATTTACAAAAAATTGTGGAAGGATCAATGGTTTAATGGTTAAAAAAGAAAGTTGCTCCTAGAAGTCACAGATTCGAGCTGTTCGTTTGCAATTTTTCACTGATCATCTTACCCAAACTAATCACATCTATTTTGTTGTTGCAAAGCTGGTAAAATGTTTAATCAAGTTAGCCTATAATAAAAATTGTGGTAGGCTGCTAAAAAGTTTCTCACTTTACATTAATTTTTTTTTAAGTTGTGATCTGTTATGGTATGGCTCATATACCATATAGGGACAGACGCTGGATCGAAGCGGAGCGGAGCGGAGCGGAGCGGAAGAATCTGTCCAAATTGGGAAGTTACGTGGGTTGGGGTGCGGGGGCAAAGCCCCGCGGTATGGTACAGGGGTAATGTTGTAATTACATGTTGTGCCTAGGTTTACTCTTGGGGTTATAAATAGTCATGTTAGTAACCCCAGGAGTTATCTCTGAATTCTGTAACCTCTTTTCTGAATATTGAAAGTAACCTCTGCTCCCGACTCTGCTCCCGAGGACGTAGGCATCTTTGCCGAACCTCGTTAAATCTCTGTGTTCTTCTGGATTTGTGTATTCTAGTTTTTCTTTGCCCTTATTTTCTCAACAAGTGGTATCAGAGCAAGGTTCGAGAGGAGAGAACGAAGAAAATTTTTATGGGCGCAAGAAGAAATTCGGCGGCAAGGTTTTACGAATAGAGCGAAGGTTCTCGGACTCTACGTTCTCTGTCGAAGGAGGGGGAGTTCGCGGCAGGACTCTATTGCGCCTGCGGGAAGCGGATCGCGTGGAGATCTGCGGGAAGCGG